TAATGTGTGGATACCAGTAGAGTTCTGGCTAATGTGTGGATACCAGAATGACCCTGGCTCATGTGTGGATACCTTTACCTTACATTTGACATACCTCTGATGAGTTTTGAGTCTTACTACTCTCAGAGCCCAGCCATGGTACAGGCTCGTCTGGTTCTTGCCTGGTCAACCAGGTTGTTGTTGCTGGAGGCCCACTGCCCTACATATCCATCACAGCCTGGTTGATGTAGCACCTGGTAAAGATACTCATCCAGTTTTTTTCTTGAAGACTTCTATGCCTGCTCTAGCTGTGTTTCTGATATATTTTGGTAAGATGTTGAACAGAGTGAGGTCACAAATGCTGATACAGTGTTCCCTTATTGTGCTCACTGCACCCCTGCTCTTCACTGGGTTTATTTTGCACTTCCTCCCATATCTCTTGCTTTAGGATGCTGTTATGGCAGTGTGCAAATTTGGGACTAAGCCCTCAAGTATTTTCCATAGGTAGTAGGTTGGTAGACAGCAACCACCCAGGGAAGTACTACCGTCCTGCCAGATGACTGTGAAACAGAAACCTGTAACTGTTTTGCATGATGGTAGGACTGCTGGTGTCTTTTTCTGTCTCATAAACACGCTAGATAATAGGGATATCTTGCTACTCCTACTTACACTTTTGTCACACTTCACAGATACACACAGCCCTGCATGTGTATGATGTATTTTATGTATGTATGTTTTGTATGTAATGTATGTATTATATATAAAATAAAAATATATATATATATAATATTTATATATAATATATATATTAATATATATCCAAAGGGAGTAGTTGGTAGACAGCAACCGCCCAGGGGGGTACTACCGTCCTGCCAGTGAGTGTAAAAAAGAAAGCCTGTAATTGTTTTACATGATGGTAGGATTGCTGGTGTCCTTTTTTTCTGTCTCATGAACATGCAAGTTTTCAGGTACGTCCCTTTCTACTTTCTAATTACACCCTTTGGGCCCACTACACATACCATGTACAAGCACATATATCACACCCCTCTGGGTTTTCTTCTATTTCTTCTAGTTCTTATTCTTGTTTATTTCCCCCTTAACTCCATGGGGAAGTGGAACAGAATTCTTCCTCCGTAAGCCATGCGTGTTGTAAGAGGCACTAAAATGCCGGGGCAAGGGGCTAGTACCTCTTTTCCCCGTATATATTACTAAATTAAAAGGAGAAACTTTCGTTTTTTTCCTTTTGGGGGCCCCCCCGCCTCGGGGGATACGGCCGTGTGTTGAAAGAAGAAGAAAGATATATATATATATATATATAATATATATATATAAATATATACACATATATATACATACAACATACATACAACTAGTTTTTTCTCCCTTTTCTAAATAGCTCTTGTTCTTTATTTCTTCTATTGCCCATGGGGAAGTGGAAAAGAATTTTTCCTCCGTAAGCCATGTGTCTTGTATGAGGCGATTAAAAATCCCGGGGACCCTATGGGCTAGTAACCCCTTCTCCTGTAAACATTTACTAAAAAAGAGAAGAAAAACTTTATAAAACTGAGATGCTTGAATGTGCGTGGATGTAGTGCGGATGATAAGAAACAGATGATTGCTGATTATGAATGAAAAGAAGTTGGATGTCCTGGCCCTAAGTGAAACAAAGCTAAAGGGGGGTAGGGGATTTTTCGGTGGGGGAAATAAATGGGATTAAATCTGGAGTATCTGAGAGAGTTAGAGCTAAGGAAGGGGTAGCAATAATGTTGAAGGATCAGTTATGGAAGGAGAAAAGAGAATATGAATGTGTAAATTCAAGGATTACGTGGATTTAAGAAAAGGGTTTTGGATGCGAAAAGTGGGTCATAATAAGCGTGAAAGCACCGGGAGAAGAGAGGAATGTAGAGGAGAGAGAGAGAGATTTTGGGAGATGTTAAGTGAATGTATAGGAACCTTTGAACCAAGTGAGTAATTGTGGTAGGGACCTGAATGCTAAAGTAGGAGAAAATTTTTAGAGAGGGTGTGTAGGTAAGTTAGGGGTGCCAGGTGTAAATGATAATGGGAGCCCTTTGATTGAACTTTGTATAGAAAGGGGTTTAGTTATAGGTAATACATATTTTAAGAAAAAGAGGATAAATAAGTATACAAGATATGATGTAGGGAGAAATGACAGTATTTTGTTGGATTATGTATTGGTAGATAAAAGACTGTTAAGTAGACTCAGATGTATATGTTTATAGAGGGGCCACAGATATACAGATCACTTCTTAGTTGTAGCTACACAGAGTAAAAGGTAGATGGGATACAAGGAGAATAGAAGCACAGGGAAGAGAGGGTGAAGGTTTATAAACTAAAAGAGGAGGCAGTTAGGGTAAGATATAAACAGCTATTGGAGGATAGATGGGCTAATGAGAGCATAGGCAATGGGGTGGAAGAGGTATGGGGTTAGTTTTAAAAATGTAGTGTTAGAGTGTTCAGCAGAAGTTGTGGTTACAGGAAAGTGGGTGCGGGAGGGAAGAGGAGCAATTGGTGGAATGATGATGTAAAGAGAGTAGTAAGGAGAAAAAGTTAGCATATGAGAAGCTTTACAAAGTAGAAGTGATGCAAGGAGGGAAGAGTATATGGAGAAAAAGAGAGAGATTAAGAGAGTGGTGAAGCAATGTAAAAAGAGAGCAAATGAGAGAGTGGGTGAGATGTTATCAACAAATTTTGTTGAAAATAAGAAAAAGCTTTGGAGGGAGATTAACAAGTTAAGGAAGCCTAGAGAACAAATGGATTGTCAGTTAAAAATAGGAGAAGGAGAGTTATTAAATGGAGAGTTAGAGGTATTGGGAAGATGGAGGAATATTTTGAGGAATTGTTAAATGTTGATGAAGATAGGGAAGCTGTGATTTCATGTATAGGGCAAGGAGGAATAACATCTTGTAGGAGTGAGGAAGAGCCAGTTGTGAGTGTGGGGAAGTTCGTGAGGCAGTAGGTAAAATGAAAGGGGGTAAGGCAGCCTGGATTGATGGGAAAAGATAGAAAAGTTAAAATCAGGTGGGGATATAGTTTTGGAGTGGTTGGTGCAATTATTTAATAAATTGTATGGAAGAGGGTAAGGTACCTAGGGATTGGCAGAGAGCATGCATAGTTTCCTTTGTATAAAGGCAAAGGGGACAAAAAAAGTGCAAAAATTATATGGGATAATCTGTTGAGTATACCTGGTAAAGTGTATGGTAAGTTATTATTGAAATAATTAAGAGTAAGACGGAGAATAGGATAGCAGATGAACAAGGGGGCTTTAGGAAAGGTAGGGGGTGTGTGGACCAGGTGTTTACAGTGAAACATATAAGTGAACAGTATTTAGATAAGGCTAAAGAGGTGTTTTTTGGCATTTATGGTTTTTGGAAAAGGCGTATGACAGGGTGGATAGGGGGGCAATGTGGCAGATGTTGCAGGTGTATGGTGTAGGAGGTAGGTTACTGAAAGCAGTGAAGAGTTTTATGAGGAAGTGAGGCTAAATTTTAGAGTATGTAGGAAAGAGGGAGATTATTTCCCAGTAAAAGTAGGCCTTAGACAAGGATGTGTGGTGTCACCGTGGTTGTTTAATATATTTATAGAATGGGGTTGTAAGAAAGTAAATGCAAGGGTCTTGGCAAGAGGCATGGAGTTAAAAGATAAAGAATCACACAAAGTGGAGTTGTCACAGTTGCTCTTTGCTGATGACACTGTGCTCTTGGGAGATTCTGAAGAGAAGTTGCAGAGATTGGTGGAGAATTTGGTAGGGTATGCAAAAGAAGAAAATTAAAAGTGAATACAGGAAAGAGTAAGGTTATGAGGATAACAAAAAGATTAGGTGATGAAAGATTGGATATCAGATTGGAGGGGGAGAGTATGGAGGAGGTGAATGTATTCAGATATTTGGGAGTGGAAGTGTCAGCGGGTGGGTCTATGAAAGATGAGGTGAATCAAGAATTGATAGGGGAAAAAGGGGGAGCGGTGCACTTAGGAGTCTGTGGGGACAAAGAACTTGTCCTTGGAGGCAAAGAGGGGAATGTATGAGACTATAGTTTTTTCCAATGCTCTTATATGAGTGTGAAGCATGGGTGATGAAAAGTTACAGTGAGGAGAAGGCTGGAGGCAGTGGAGATTGTCATGTCTGAGGGCAATGTGTGGTGTGAATATAATGCAGAGAATTCGTAGTTTGGAAGTTAGGAGGGGTGCAGGATTATCAAAAATGTTTCCAGAGGGCTGAGGAAGGGTTGTTGAGGTGGTTCGGACATGTAGAGAGAATGGAGATAAACAAATGACTTCAAGAGTGTATGTCTGTAGTGGAAGGAAGGTGGGGTAGGGGTCGGCCAGGGAAAAGGGTTTGGGGGGAGGGGGGAAAGGAGGTTTTGTGTGCGAGGGCTTGGACTTCCAGCAGGCATGCGTGAGCGTGTTTGATAGGAGTGAATGGAGACAAATGGTTTTTAATACTTGACGTGCTGTTGGAGGTGAGCAAAGTAACATTTATGAAGGGATTCAGGGAAACCGGCAGGCCGGGACTTGAGTCCTGGAGATGGGAAGTACAGTGCCTGCACTCTGGAGGGGTGCTAATGTTGCAGTTTAAAAACTGTAGTGTAAAGCACCCTTCTTGGCAAGACAGCGATGGGAGTGAATAAATTGGTGAAATTTTTTTTCTTTTTCGGGACCCTGCCTTGGTGGAACGGGCAGTGTGATAAAAAAAAAAAAAAAAAAAATAAATCCTTGGGTAGCTTCAAAAATTAGTTTGGGCAAACATATATGGGGCAATATTACAAAAAATTCAAAACACATACTAAGCAAAGTAGCTGTGAAGTGCTCCACAACTTAATGTATGCATGACAAGTTTTTGAAGTCTTAATACTTAATACAAACAGGTTGACTGACAAAACAGTTTCATGAGAAGTGATGACAATATTTTGTTATATCTCGCAAATAAGAACCACAGGATGAGTGCAAGACAACACCAAGTGTTACAGAAATGGAGGTATTCAAGCTCAGAGATGCACTCATACCTTTTTTATTTGTGAGGATGGTGATGATCCAATAATCAATAGAGAAGATTCCTCTTGACTGCCTTCTACTGCTTCATTAATGTCACTGCCATCATTTCCACTCATTCTCTGTCTTTTTTTCCTTGTATTATTATCGTCAAGCTCTTCCTGTCTGCTGAAGCCTTCTTTATTTCCCTGTTCAATAGTAATACGCTTTCCTCTCAAACAATTACTCCACTTTGAGTCAAGTCTATCATTATCGTCATCATCATCATTATTATCAATGGTAGTTTTCTTAACAATGTTTTAATTTTCTTCTGCTACTTCTTCACTGTTGTGTAGATGCAGGTTTCTCCTAGATAGGCTCAGTCTCACTTGATGCTGCTGCTTCACCAGCTGTTAGCTCATCAGCTCTGGTAACAACACTCCATAAGCCCACTATCCTTCTGCAAATTCTGCACCTGAAAAAATTAAACCGTGAACATTGCAATACAATTTTTATTTCTTTATGTGGTACAAATAATGTAGTTTACATGCAATAAAACATTGGTAGGCACAAAATAAAACCACAAATTTATGCCTATTTTGGGGCAAACAAATTATAAAGCTAATGAACTAAGAACAGAAGAAACATTGAGTAACTTCTTTCGGTTTAACTACAATCACAAGTGAACACACCACACATGTATGCAAATCGAGTCAAAAGGATTTATATACAAACATATACAAACTAATCTTTGAGAGACTAGAATTAAGCAATAATAAAACTGAGAAGAAAATCAAAATTGTACCTAACTGAAGCTAAAGTGAGTGTAAATGCACAATCTAAATGAGGTAGAATTTGAAAGTAACTACTCAAATAACAAAAAGGCACAATACCGTGACTGGAACGATACACAAATAACCCGCACATAAAAGAGAGAAGCTTACGACGACGTTTCGGTCCGACTTGGACCATAGACAAAGTCACACTAACAGAGGTGGAGCAGGACGCCTATATATATATGGGCATCCCCATCGTAGATGTTTCGCCATCCAGCCAGCCACTGGATGGCGAAACGTCCACAACAAAGACAACCAGACGCCGCACATGTGTCTTTATTTCATCAGTAGTTGTAGTAGTAGTAGAAGAAGAAGAGGTAGTAGTAGTAGTCGTAAGCTTCTCTCTGTTATGTGTGGGTTATTTGTGTAACTACTCAATTTTGCAGAGATAACTGTAAAGAAATGAGGTGGCTTTGTAATCTTGGCAAAAAAGAATCACCGCTAGTAAAGGAAATTTAAATCCAAAACATAAATGTTAAAATTCTAGTGACAGAAACCAAGAAGAAAGACATATCTTATAAAGTTACACAATTCATCATTTAACAACACATGGGAAAGACATATCTGACAAGATGAGCAAAAATTATTGCAATACAGATTTCAATTAGCATAAACAGACTGGTTAGCTTATTAGGCTGGAACATGTAATGCATTCAAACTCCTCAGTGCAGTGACCAGTTTCTTTATACACAAGCACATCAGAGCAGCAATGTGGGTGAAGTAAGGCAACAAATTCTCAATGACAGACTTTGTACTCACTAAAAATGAAGAGGTAATTCTCGATGAACAATTAAGACCCACATTCAAAGAGTGATCATGCATTTTTTTTTTTTCAAATCTATGTTGCTATACAGTGAAACCCTGGATTTCATACTTAATCCATTCCAGAAGGTCATTCTAAATCCGAAACGTATGAAAACTGATGTAATATTTCCCATAAAAAATACAGTGGACCAACGGGTAAAGGCTTCATCGCTAAGTGCCAAAATCGGCTAATGGCTCGCTTTGGTGTAAAAATATTGGCTCGGCTAATGCCAAATAACTTTCATCCCGAACGTGTCCGCATGGCCAAAGCGGGAAGGCCACTCACTCCGTGTACAGCCAGTGTACCATTGTTTACAAAGCAGGTTGCGAGGACGATTCCACGCGTACATGCGACATATTTTGTATTATTCCATTGTTTTTAGTGCTTGTAACTGCTAAATAAGCCACCATGGGCCCAAGAAAGCTTCTAGTGCCAACCCTGTGGTAAAAAGGGCGAGGTGTACTATCGAATTAAAGAAAGAGATAATCGCAAGGTACGAGAGTGCTGCAAAAGGTGCAAGTATGCTTACAAAACAGAGATTGCAAATACTCGAAGAACAGCAGGGACATATCTGTCAGAACTGCACAGGGGAGTGGTAGAGGATGTGGCAGAGGACGTGAAGGAGGAAGACATCTACAGCCGTCTCACCTTCCACCAACAGAGTCCCAGCGGCAGAACCTGCGGACAAATCAGCAAAACACAGGAGGTGCAACAAGTAATGGTCCACCCTCCCAGGCACCTAGGCAGTGCTCTCGCTGTCGCCGGAAGGGGCACACCATCAACAGCTGCCTGCGAGATACCAAGTGCAATTACTGCCACAAGAAAGGACATCAGGAGGACTAGTGTCGGAAGAAAAAGGAACTTGACAGACAGGACCGCCTGTTTAGATACCTGTTCTCAGAACAAACCAGCAGGATCTTTGAACTGGTGAACACACTCACATGTCACCCACTCAGCTACTCCTATTTCAGCCCAGCAAGTGGTATTGTGCCTTATACAAGACCACAGACCTACATCCCTGCAGCTGCCTCAGTGCCCTACCTCTCTCGAGGACAGGTACCTTACATGCCTTACACACTCACCACAAGTTGACCACATCATGAGGAGCCAGTCTATCAGCATCCTGTCACCAACATTAGAGGTTTCATTACTAATGTTGGAAGCTCTCACACAGTTTTGTGAACACTCGAACGTCCCCAACATGAAAAGTTTGTTGTTGAAACATTTTTGGACACAGGACTCCAGAAAATTTTGCAAGAATTGCTGGCTACACCTCATGGATGAGAAGAGACAGGCAAGGGCAAGGAGATGGTGTTGCTGTGTGCTTCTCTAAAAGTGTACATGCCCAGCACATTGATGTTGCCATCCCTGCTCATCTTGAAATGATGTTCTTCAAGCTATGCATAAACACTAGTACCTCTGTACTTGCATGTTCAATGTACAAACCTCAGTGGCAACATACAGACCCCATCAACTTCCTAATGGAAAATGTGGACTCCCTTCTGCTACAACACAACTGTCAACATGTCATAATTGTTGGTGACCTCAATCAATACCTTATACAGAGGTACTTTGATGACCTTCTTGCAGTATTTGACATGAGAAACGTCGTTGATTTCCCTACTCACATCTCTGGCTCCTCCCTTGACCCAGTAGTGAGTAATCTAGCAGAAGGTATAGTCACTTGTCAACCCCTCGGCTACGTTGGATCATCCGACCACAAGGTTGTTTAAGATCCCAAGAGAACAAGGTGAGGAGTCCACACGCACAACCTGGCTATGGAAAAGAGGTAATTGGCCAGCCCTTTGCTCTGAGCTCGCCACCACCAATTGGAATGCTCTTCTCCAAGGGGATGTTGACAACCAAGTGAAAGTCTTCACTGGACACATCCTTAATTTACAACAAGAACACATTCCTCAACGGCAAATGTGATGAAGCCTACAGATCAGCCTTGGTTTGGCTTTCATTATAGAGAGGCTGCTACTGCTAAGTACAAGGCATGGCGAAGGTATAAGAGACATCCTACCACCTATAACAGGGACTTGCACAGGCAAGCCTGTAGGCATATGGGTGACATTCAAATGTGGGCCATCGCTAAATGGGAGATGGACACAAAAAGAAGGCTAGCATCAGGTAGGGTAGGCTCTAAAACCTGGTGGTCCCTGGTCAAGGACAGACAAGGTTATCTGCCTGATGAACTCATTTCACCTCTAAATCGACAGGATGGGACCACCTCTACTAGTAGTCAAGAGAAGGCGGACCTCTTTGCTGAACACTTTGCTACCAAAATGCAAGTTCCTGATCCAGCAAGGGACCCTCCTTGGCTAGCTGCAAGAACTGTCAGTGGTGACAATAAGGCAGGAAGAGGTGCATTTCCTTCTTAAATTGCTTGATAGGGAAAAGGCTGTAGGCCGAGACAAGTTGAGCCCAAGATTGCTGAGATGATGTGCAGACCAGCTAGCAGCATCTCTAACTCACATCTTTCAGCGCTGCCTAGTACAGTGTAAATGGCCTTCTCTGTGGAAAGAGGCAAATGTAGTCCCTGTTCACAAAAAGAAGAGCAGAGCAGAAATCAGCAACTACAGACCAGTGTCACTCCTGTCAAACACTGGCAAGCTCCTTGAGACAATAATCTCAAGACAAATGACAGAGTTTTTTGACTACCACTCATTACTTTGTGACCATCAATATGGCTTCAGGAAAGGTTCCTCTGCTGCTGATCTGTTCTTAACCCTTTCAGGGTTGAGAGGCCCTCTTCTAAACTCGTTCTCAGGGTTGAAATTTTTTCGAAAAAAAAAAAAATTATTTTTTCTTATGAAATGATAGAGAATCTTTTCCCGATCATAATGACACCAAAAGTATGAAATTTGATGGAAAACTTATGGAATTATGCTCTCGTGAAGTTAGTGGTCTCGACGATGTTTACGCATCAGCGATTTCGCCCACTTTGAGCCCTATTTTTGGCCAATTTCAGTGTACTAGTCGACAAAAATCATATCTGTGTCGCTAGAGCTCCATTTTCTCTATCGAATGAGTACAAGAAACCACCCATTTACCGATTTCAAGTATCCAATAAAGTGGCTAGAAATTGGCAATTTTGCCAATTTCACACAAACAGTGGACCCCCGCATACCGATGGCATCACACAGCGATTAATCCGCATACCGCTTGCTTTAATCGCCAAAATTTTGCCTCACATACCGCTTAAAAACCCGCTCACCGATTTTCGTCCGAGACGCGTCCAATGTGCGGCCTGAGCCACGCTCACATGTTCCGCCGGTGGCATTGTTTACCAGCCAGCCTCCGCGGTAACATCCAAGCATACAATCGGAATATTTCGTATTATTACAGTGTTTTCCGGTGCTTTTCTGGGAAAATAGAAGTGACCATGGGCCCCAAGAAAGGTTCTAGTGCCAACCCTACAGCAATAAGGGGATGAGATTACAATAGAGATGAAGAAAAAGATCATTGATAAGTATGAAAGTGGAGTGCGTGTCCTCCGAGCTGGCCAGGTTGTATAAAAACCCCAATCAACCATCGCTACTATTGGTGGTACAGCTGCTGCTGCACTGGTCAGCTGCTGCTGCTGCTGTAGCATCGTCTGCTGCTCGCTGTAACATCGTCTGTTGCTGCTGTACCCACCGTCAGCTGCGCTGTGCTGCTGTAGCATCGTCTGCTGCTGCTGTAAACATCGCTGTTGCTGCTGTAGCAATCGGTCTGTTGCTGCTGTAGCAATCGTCTGTTTTGCTGCTGTACCACCGTCAGCTGCTGCTGCTGCATGTAGCATCGTCTGCTGCTGCTGTAACATCGTCTGTTGCTGCTGTACCACCGTCA